TTTAGCAATTTCTATAGAAAGACATTGTGATTGTGAATCCCCATTTGCGCGGCACAAGAGCGCCATCCGCATTGGCATGGCAATGTTCGACTCATTTATTAACGCAAAAATTGCAGTTAACTGGCAACGTAATGCAATGGACAAGTCATTTCAACAATTGTGTAACGTGACAATGAACAGCAATTGCCAGACAAATGCGGTGCAGTGAAGTTGCGAAAAGGATCAAAACGGTGTATAAGACGACTGCAGCAGGAAGATAAGCGCGCAGCAAAGAAACGTCAATGAATGTGGCAAGTGGAGGTTGTAGGTGATGCAGTGCGCTTTTAAGCGCATACAACAGCATGTGGCAAGTGCTGAAAGCTGCTGTTACCGGCGTGTGACTGCTAATTGTAATGCTGCTTGCATGTCGCGTATCTACATATGTGTGTAAGAAACATATGTCACAACAGCTACGTGCTGTCAATTGGCTAGCATAACCTGGAAGCTAACTCAATATAAAAACAAGCAAATATATACACACATACAATCAATGGGGCAATGTGCGCTAAAAAATTTAAAAACTGACTTCGTAGAGGCATTTTCGTTATCTACTAATGGAAAAAAAAACATTTCTTTTTTGGATATTTAAAATAGGAAACTTCAAGTGCAGTGTGTGTAGATTGAGTAAAATTTCGAAAAAACAAAATCAAATTTCTGAAATTATTGTTGTTTGACGTAAGTGGAAAGTGATTAGAGCTAAGAAGCAGCTGATATACATTATAAATAGCTGTCTTCGATTCACCAAGCGTTAGAGAGTAGCGAATCGAACAAACTGTAGCAGCTGTTCAAACAGCTTGACTATACTTGCGGTACAACTTAGAGCTAACATGTTCGCTGACGCTTGCGTAATTGTGTTGCGCTTCTCTCTTTGCTGGCAAAATGCTTCTTTCTATGCCAAATAATATTTTATTAAATTAAAGGCTTAATTTAGAATAACATGCATTAATTTACTTTAACTATAAAAAATTACATTTTGCGTTTTTAAACCCAATAACAATCCTTTGTATCTTCGTACTAGAGCGTATTTTGTGACTTGAGTCATTCATAATAGTAAAGCTGGTCCAAAATCTTCTAAAATAAAAATTGGTAGCATTAAAGAAAGCGGTTATACCACGTTAATGAGTTAGTTGTATGCTCTGTTGAATCGAAATCTACTCGCTAACTTAAATGTATTAATTTAAATGTTTGTCAAGAGAGCAGCGCTCGAAGATAGCAAGCAGAGAAATGGCGAATCGAAGACGGCTAATACATGTTCATAATAAACAACCGCCTATATTAAATGATTTTTTTAAATATTGTACATTAAAAAGTAGTGTTTTCTAGTGTTTCGTTGCTTCAAATTGCACGTGGCACATTTCTCTTCTGATTTCAACAATCTTTTTCTTTCTTTAGGTAGTAAATGCAATAATGCATCACATTTTATTAGACTTTGCTAACTATTATTCATAATTCTTATAATATAATTAGATTTATAGCCAGCGACTGCATTATTTACCTTATGAATGAGAGAGTGCAAGCGCAATAAGTTTAAGACTTCACTACCGACTAATTCAATATGTGAGCAAAACACGTAATTTTCATTCATCATCATAAGTCATCGCAATGTCTTGCAGGTGAAGTGCAATACACTTGGCCCAAAGCAACAAATAAAAAAAACATATAATCAAATAAATATAAGAATGTAGTTTTTCGTACTTTCCAAAGGTAAGCTAGCTGCATCCTTCCTTATTTATTTGCTAGCTGTTAGAACTCTTCAGCAGCAAACAAACAATAGCACAAAGGATAAAGGAAAAGCCATTAATTAAGCGCGAAATAACCCAGTAGCTAAACGTTTGTTAAGCTCAATAAAAGTGGAGATAAAGTAAAATTATTAAATTTAGGAACTAAGACAAGATTTCTTTAGAAAATATGTATTTTTTAATATAGACTACTTTGTTGAGTTTTTTTATAACCTACAATGAAGTTTGTAACAACCAGAAGTAAACGTCAGAGACCCTATAAAGTATATATGTATGTATGTGCATAAGTGATCATCGTGACGAATTTATTCGACTTATTCTTGTCCGCCTCACTGTTCTTATGTATATACGCGAACTAGTTAATCATTTTTAAGCTATTAATCTGAAATTTTGTATACGTCCTTATCCACCCCAAGAAAAGGCTTATCGTCGGAACCGCCGATATCGGACCACTATAGCATATAGCTGCCATACAAACTAATCAATCGGAATCAAGTGTTTGTATGGAAAACTCATTTGACGAGGTATCTTCACGAAATTTGGAACGGATTATTATTCAAGGCAACGGTACAATCTCCGAAGAAATTTTTTAGATCGGACTACTATAGCATATTGCTATCAAACAAACTGACGAACAACCCTTAGATAAAGTTATTTTCTTTCTGTGAAGAGTATTACATCTTCGGTGTAGCCGAAGTTAACATTATTTTTTTTTCGATGGATTTATTATTTTTATAACAGCGTAAAATATCCACAAATATCTAGTTTGTATATATTTATATATATTTTTTATAAACCTTACTGTAGCAATGAGTGCTTTTGCATTACATGTGTACTACATAGAAAGTTCGTAATATACATATAAAAAACCTATCTCCACTATCTAATAGATAAACATTCATAAATTTGCATAACTCTCTAATATATTTGCTATACCTAGCATGGAAGTAAGTATGAATTAAGCAATTAATTACCCTATCAATGTCAATTTATTACATTTCCTGCTGGGGAAACAACATCCTTACTTCCTTTCGTTTAATTCAAGCAGCTTTGCCAGCGATGCCATCTCTCACAAAGTTGCATTTCACAAATAAAGCCGTAAACGAGATACGAAACAGAACTGTATTGCATTTATGTAGGTGTATGTATACCTGCGTATAGCGGCATTTCCACAAACTCTCCTGTTTACAATTCAAACTCACGTCCATTTTCCAACGCTGCTAGACAGCGAACTCCCAAAGCAAGTCATGAGGATTTCGCATTAAAGTTTATTTATTTATATAGAGTGAATGGCATAGAGCATTCTATATGAATATATATATATATGTACTTCCATTTTATGGACTTAATGAAATATACTAATTCTCGAATAAACGCGTACGAACAAGTGTTGTTGTTGTTTATGAGTTGAGACAAAAGTATGCTCCGACTAGCCAACTCTTCGGATGTAGACAGGAAGATTGTAAGGAACTTTTAATAAACACATTTCAAACACGTTTACATAACTACATGCATACATATTTATAAAGATTCCAAAAGCACTTATACTAGCGATGCGGATGCATTAATATTTGTCTACAGGTGTTGAGGATAGTGAGTTGTTGAGGTTCTCAATTTAAGCGAAGAAACTTCTAAGTATTCGTTCTAGCTATTTTAAAGGTAAATAAAGGATTTCCAAGAGTAGTTTTGAAACCAAAAATTTTGAAATAACTATTGGTTTGACGACTACCGATGAAGTATCCATCTTCGATTCGTAATTTCTCTGTTCGTTATCTTTGAGCACTGCTTTCCAGTCAAAAGTTTTGCATGTGGAATCAACAACAAAGTTGAACTCTCTCAGAACTAATCGTCTGGAATTTTGCCAAAAAATTATTGAAATGTCTGAAGAAGACAATAGCTTGATAAATTGCCTGTTTATGTCTGATGAGGTCCATTTTGATCTAAACAGAAATGTAAACAAGCAAAATTGCTGTATATGGAGTGAATCAAATCCAGAAATAATCCACGAAACGGAACTTCACCCAAAACGAGTCACTGTGGGTTGCGTAGTTTCATCAAGTGTATTGTCGGGCCATACTTCTTTTTTTAAGTTATTTAAATATGTTGAATGAGTTTTTTTACCCAGAATTGCGCCGAAGACGTATTCCTTCCAATAGCGTTTAGTTCTGGAACACATAGCCAGACCGATTATTGCGAAGTTCCAACGAAAAGTTGAAAACAAATTAATATCAAGAGACTCCACTTTCCGCTGGCCACCAAAGTCATCTGACCTGACTGCACCATACTTTTTTATTGGGTTATGTGAAGCAAGAGGTGTACAAAACAAAACACAGAAATCTGACTCAATTGAAACAGTCCATTAAATTGATAATTGCGGCCCTTCAAGCCGCAATGAAAATTTTTCTAATTAGGTGTCACATATGCGTAGTTGAGCATAGAGGTCATTTACGGTCCGTAATTTTTAAAAAATAATTATTTATATAAAATAAAATGAAATTTGCTATACAATAAAAAAAAGTAATGCATTGATTTAAAAAAAGTTATGACGGTTTGTTTTTGCAGCATGAATTGTGAGCCACCCTGAAAAATAATATTATGCAACGACTGCCCATCTGAAGCTATAACTTTTTTCATCTTTCTGGCAATTTGTGGATTCCATCTCAAAAGATGCGTCGGCTTGGCGGCCTAGAATGAATCAAGCCAATTTTCGATACGCTGTTTTGATGCGAACCGTATTCTAGTGAGGGTGTTCTGCATCTACTGGTATAAATGCCAGTTAAGATGGTCAAAGTCTCGGCTATAAATCGTGTGAGGCAAAATTTTCCAATCGCTGTTTTCCAAATAGTTTTTAATCGGTCTTGCAACACAAAGCCGAGCGTTGTCATGAAGGAAAATTACTGCTTCGTGCTGGTGTACTCCAATTTGATGGATTGTTGTCGGTAGCGTTCCCCATTAATATTTGAGTGAAAAAAATTAAAATTAATAAAATGAATGACATATATTGAAACAGACGCACAGGGACATTAGCTTTCCAGCGCATGTTCGAAATATTGGAAAAATGGAATAATAATCAAGTATTATCAATATATATAATAAATAAATATAATGATAAAACAACATAATCACTATTCAAAATATATACATTTAATATTCATTACATAATATAGTATTAAAATTCCTAACATTTCATTACATTTAACATTTTAATATAAACTGTCCTCCAACTTTGCTTTAATTAAACATTTGAGCCAATCCCGATTTCTATGTAGACATAGATACAAAATGTAAAGTTTTTTATGACGACTAAACAATAAATTATCATTCCAGGTAACGATTTCTTTAAAACCGATCATCGCCAGATAAACAAGGTAAACCTACGAGTTTATTGGTGACTTAAAAAAACTTCGGCGGTCCTTCCATTTGCATTATTTCTACAAATATAACAAAATTTTAAATTCAAATCCACCATCTAATACTTTCATATATCACTTGCAACATACCTACATATTTAAGGGTTGTTTACTCTGATTATGTTCTCTAATTTTATTATGTTAAAAGCTCGTTATTTGTGGCTACTAAACTAATTTGCATAAATAAAGTGCCAACACAAACATATCCGCCGTCATCAGGCGAGAACTTTGCTAATCCGTTGTCAAGAATGCATTACCATTTGCGGAAAAATATGGCTTACTGTTATGAATAACTTAAAATCCAACCACAAGGCAGCTTCTAAATGGTCGCAGTCGCTGTGCAGTCACGGTAAAATAATTTTGCAACACACGAAAAAGTTAAATTGTTGATATAAAGAAAAAGGAAATAAAGGAGTTGCCATGTCATGCAAATAATGTGAAAAAAGAAGAAACGACAATACAAAAGCGCTGCAATGCCAAAATTATACCATAGCACACTTGAAGCCAACGCGTGCACTTTTCACCTCCTGCAACAATCGCCGAAAAAGCGAGACAACGGCCGTTGCACTCATCGGCCGACCACCAACAAAGCCATGGAACGTGCGCGCCAATGCCACGACTGCGAACTAAGTCAATGGCAGGAGCAGCCGGGAGCCTTGTGAGTCAATGAAGACAGGCGTCGGCGGCAATGGATTGCGAAAACTATTGCCATTTTATGTTAATGCACTTAAGTTAAACTCCAGTGTATGCAACAGCAGGAGGAGCAGCCGTATTAAATGCGTCTGCGATGAGTGGTGTCTATTGGTTGGTGTGGCGGTGGCATTTGTGGAGTGGTTGGCGTTCATTCGCCAGTTTTATTACATGCATAATTTGCCAGTGCAAAGTGTCGTGGGAGAGCATTACCGTCTACGTTGTAGCAGTTGCAAGCAATGCTTCCGTTGGCTTGTGGCAGTTATCAAGCGTGAAGTAATTTGCGAAGTTCGTGGCTGTTGTTCGTATGTCGCCACTTGCAACTACAGCGTTGAAATGGTGACCATCTCTAATGTGCATATCGCTTTCTCGACGAAAAGTCGAGAATATAGAGCTAACGCTTATGCGGTATTTTCAATTTGCATTAATAATTATTATTTTTTACACACAAAAAAAAAAAACGTCTGATCAAATTTGAACCGGACTAGTCTATTTAAACTGCGCGCATCAACCGAAACACTTTTTCCCCCTAGATTGGTATTTTTTTATGTTCGTGTGTAGTTTGATCTTGATATATCAATTAGTCTGTGCTTGGGAGTGTTTGTTTAAGACGCAAAAAGTTTGTCTGGCGATTTTTACCATGAAAAAATATTTAACAACGAGTTTGCTTGAGATTTTGTGCTTCCAATGGAATCACGGCTACGAGGAATCGTTAAAAATATTGCAGAAGTGTTTTGGAAAGTCTACTGTATATTGTGATAAACAAAAATATTTAAGCGGCACAAAGCATTCAGTGAAACTCGTGTAGTCAACGAAAACTTTGCTTTAGAACAACTCGTACCAAAAGACTTAAATATTTTGCAAAAACGACGTCGTCGCGCTACAACTTAGGACCCTCCATTCATCAAAAACCGATAAAACCAAAATTTGCTGAAGGTACCGAAGGCCATTCCAGACGAGGTTAACAAGTGTATGGAAAATTTGATTAAACTTTGGTATGCTTGCTTTGACCAATCTTGAAGGCGATAATAAAGATTTGTATTAAAAGACGTGAAAATTTAGTTTTTTTTTATTATTTAATTATATAATATTATTTTACTATATAATATTATTTTATTATACAATATTATTTTATATTATTTTATTATACAACATTATTTTATATTATTTTATTATATTAGTTTTTAATTATTAATTTTTTATTTTTGTATTATTTTATTTTATTTTTTTATTTTATGACACCAAACGTTGATATACATATTACGCAATTAACGACATTGATACTGATCACCACTTAATTTGTCGACTTTTTTTTTCTGGCATCTGTCGAATTGGTGTTTTATTCACAATTATAGATCCAATATTAATATTATTGATCCCCGATATGATATCTTTAATAGGAAACTACTATCTGCCTTTGAATTTAACATGTTGAACAATATGTTTTGTCCGATACATTTTACTTATCTTTGTCACCAATATTACATACAACAACAACTGCACAAGGCATATCAAAACATGTGAAGGTCATAAAAAAGTTATTTTGGACTCTACTATTCTAACATAATTACAATATTATAACGACATGAAGTTTATGCTTTTTTATGAAAAAATTTCTTATCTCTAAGTATGTAATAACGAACTTAGGTTTTGTAGTAAATATACACAAAGCTACCGAAAATAGATAGATGTGATGTATATATCGAGAAAATTAAAAAAAAAAAAAACTACTGGTACGAAAACTAAAGAATACTTTACTCCCAACATTTCTTTCTTATTAATGAACTGAAGAAAGTATCCAAGTTTTGAATAACAGTGGAACCCACGATATCGACATGATAGGGACTAATATAAAGTAATTTATTACATTTAAGCACATTGCTTTTTTGAAACTCTACACATAAACTTGAAAGTGCTTGCAGAGAATTTTTGGTAAACACTGACGGCAAATCAGATAGAAATCCTCTTTCATGCAAGTAAAGGCAAATTCATAGAAAAAGTTAAAAAAACAAAAAAACACAAAAAAAATAGAGCTAAACGAAATAGTATGCAATGAAATGCAACGTGAAATGAATGCAAGCTGATAAAGACTGTAAAATTGTCGAGCCAACTTCGCTACTAGCAGACATTCTTCCAAACGTCATTCGCCGTAAACGCCGCAAGTTCAACAAACTCACACCCCACACAATTTTCGTAGTCTAGCAGCCACATCGTAAATACTGGTTTCCGTTTGTAATATACAATACGTAAGAATGCACATGGACTGCTGCATATTGCGTAAATGTAGCGGGGTTACGGTGCGGTGGGGAAACAATAAATTCCTGACAAACCCTAAACTCGAGAAGAAATGTGGCCCACGATAAGAGTTGAACGAGTCAATGCAAAATGTTGCAGCAGTAGCAACAGCGTTGGCAACAATTGAAATTCGGTGATGGGTATCGGGTGTGTCAGACAAATCAGCAAAATTCGAGAGTAACGTTAATTTTTTTGTTTGTTGTCTTAACACAGTGTGCAATAATTGTTTTTAGACTCATACATTGTTAATTTTAGTGAACATAAAGGTTTGAAAAACAAAATAACATAAGCTTTAAAGCCTTTAACGGTATTAATTTGAAAATATATGGCAGCCTTATCTAATTTCGAATTTTCGAAAATTACTATTTTAATTTCGAAATGTGAAAAATTATATTTTTAAGCATATATGTATTTTTCATTGTTACTACCATAATTAAATCGCTTCATCGTAGGTATGTATTTCCAGGAAGGATTTTTTATTTTATTTTTTATTTTAGGAAATCACTATTTTACGCGTACAAAACATTTTTCATTCATTCCTTCGTAAACGGTTCATTGTATATACACATATACTGATGAAATAGCATTTTTTGGTTTTTTTTTCAAATTTTCGAAAATCACTATTTCAATTTCGAATTGTCGATAATCACTATTTGATGCGTATAAATATTTTTCCTTGATGCTCGCATAGTATTGTAGAATTCCTTCATCTATTATTTCTTATATTTCTATCCTGTTTTCCGAATTACAAATTTTACAAAAAATATTGATCACGCTAGCGAAAGTGCACTGTTTGCAAGAGTATAAAAGTCGCTAAAAAGTAAAATTGCTTGTGCAGCAAAAGATGCGAATTCCGGGTGCATTGGCGCTGCATTTGCGAAACGTTCAACTTTCAACTTTTGCGTGGAACTTTAAATGCGTACATTCGCCTGGTGTCACAGCTTGTGCTCCCTACTTTTGTAACGCAAAGCGCTTGAGGAAAATGTATGCAATTACATACTGAAGAATTATGTTGCACAGGTTACATTTCGAAGTATTTAACAAGCCAGAATTTAAATATATTTCTTATTTAAAAAAATTATATAAAACCACCTTTGATTCGCCACTATTCTGTACACTATGTTTGATTATACCACTCTAGTGGTAGTTTATACCAGTTATTTGTTCGATTCGACATTCTGCATGGTTTGACAAAGCGTAGAGAGAGTAGTAGTTGAACGAAATATGGCGAAAAATACTATACATTAAATTCGATAATTGTTATACTAATGTTATACTAATAATACTGAGAAGTAAGTCACTATTTTCAGAGCTTTTTCAAATATTAAAGCATAGAAATTATCTTGAATAAATAAATATAATTTGGAGAGGCAGGTCGAAAGTTGTTCTCCAGCACTACGTTTGTTTTACCTAATTTTTTCAATATGAAATGATATATGTATGTACACTAAGTATAGAATATTTCCTTATATAAAAAACACAATAAATTTTAATCATTTCACATTTTAACACTGCAACTCCTACGCAGAAAATAACAATGAAAGAGAAAAATGCGGAATTTGCTGCTTGTGTTTTACCACAGCGTGTGCAAAAGTCAAGCTTAATTTTTTTTTTTTGGAGATATTTGTGGTCAAATTTCTTTATTCTATAGTAGCTATTGTTGGGAAGAAAGAAGAAAGTTTCAAGCTGGAACTATACTAGTCTTTGGCTGAAAATTTAACTTATTATTTCCATATAACGATTGGCCTTATATATTATATATTAATTAAAAATTTGGACTTAGCACACATGCAACAGATTAGGTCCCATAAGGATAGCGGAGATTTTCCTCCTCCAAAAACATTTCCCTAAAGAGAATAAATTAAAAATAACACAAAACTTGGGAGCAAACTGAAATGAAATGTATTCAAATTATATACAAAGTATGTATATGCAAATAAACTGAAAACGGAAATAATCATAAAGAATTTTGCGAACTATAAACATTGTACAAATATATGCACATATTATACAACAAAATCCTATATTCATATACGTAAATATATACTAAATGAGCACTTGCGCTTACAACAACCTTCAGTGATAAGACTAATTATCTAGTGTTATAATATTTGTTTCAACTCGCAATGCCCAACACACTAAACGCTCTTCTGATTCATATATTTTTGTTTTTTGTATTTTATTGCTCTCTCTCTTTAACATATTTTTACAATACACTTTGATACCTAATCTGTAGGTGCCTCTTTTAAGATTAGTTATCAGTGAATGTATAAGTGCTGATAGATTGGGTTAGTTAGAAGAAGAGGTGGGAAATATGTACTTATCTAATTTTTAAATAATTGTAGGTTTAGATAATACTTATTATGATTGAAATTGCTTTCACTTACCGGTTTTGAATGTTGCCATTAGCCTGTTCGAATCACCGCCATGATGACAGGCAAACAGTGATTGGTCAAGTAGATCTTCGGCCTTGTAACCGAAGAGATTTTGCATTCTAATGAAAGGAAAACAGAATATTAATACACGAATTTTAATTGGTCAAAAAATATGTAATTGTGTCAATTTACTTCTCATCCACATATGTAAATTTCATATCCAAGGAGTGTTTTGTCAAGAATGTTGTACTGCCCAATGGAATTTCTATGTTGGAGGGATGCGGTATTGGCCGACCAATGGCGACCAGTACACGATCATCTTTCATGTTAACTACCAAGTGACCAGTTATGTGAATAACCTAAGGTAGCGAGAGCGAAAAATTAATTAAACACAATAAAAAAAATATTTCTTTTATAATAAAAGTAAGCGAAAATGCTTTAACATACCTTGTACGAAGCGCTTTTAATATTGATACTACGTCCACGACTGGTCAATGTGCACTTGAGACGCACAAAAAGATCACGATGCTCGGTCGAAATGCCTTCTTCTATCATATTCTCATCTTTAATCTTATCGGGCAGACCCTTGCGTTTGATGTTTAGCGCCTCTTTGAGTTCGGCATGATCACATTGGTGACTGTACTCCCAAATTTGCTGACCAAGTATGTCAATCTAAAAGAAAAAAATTAAAAAGTAATTTTTTTGTTCTACCATTTAATAATTTTTAATTTTTACAACCTTTGCCAAGCCTAAATAATCAGTTATGTTGTCTGAAACATAGGTAATATCGCCATCGTTGGAGAGGATAATCAGAAAGCCATCCAAGGTCTGTTTGATGAATTGTGTTGCCTCGGCACATTTGAGCAAATCAAATTTTCCATCGGAGTTTTCCGTTGATGAAATGGACATTTGAGTTGAACTATTGGAGTTTTCATCAATATTATTGTCCAATTTAATATCGCCAAGAAGATCTTGAATTTTTGGGACTGTAAAAGAGAACGAATATTAATTTTGTTTACAATTGTTGTATATAACGGTAGTTCTCATGGTCTCCACTACATTAATCAATTTTAATTTTTACTAGCATTGACAGTCATCACTGCAAAAATATTTTCAAGTATATTTCAATTTGTACTTACACAGCTCTAGCATTTCGCGTACTTTCAGAAAAGCTATAGCAATACGCATTATAGATGCTTTGTCCAATTGGTTGACGTCGTCTTTGCGCAGTGGCAAAATTTGTGCCAATTCGCTAAAAATCTCCGTTTCGCGTGAACGCCGGCATCTGGCCGCATCACGTGATTTTTCCTTACGCTTTTCATTGTTTCTGGAAAGAAGAAAAAACATAAATTTTGTATAGTAATATCTTAAATTTTTCTTTTTATAAATATAATTATAAAATGAACATCGACTCAATTAGAGAACACAGTATAGGTATAAATTGAACTTTCGGTAGATATCCTTAGACAAATGAACTCAACATAAGCTAAAGAACATCTCACAAGGGAGCGCTGTAGTCAATGAATTTGCGAACATTGTCTTTATAATCAGAATTTTTTTTAAAATGTGAGAAAACTCAGATTGAAAGGTATATGAAGAATCTTGAATTAAACCATTCAAGGAACATGGGAAAAGATTGCACTGCTGCTTGACAACTTAAATCAAAACGAAGATAAATAGTTCATCGCGCCAACGTAATAACAACCGTCTTCGATTCCCCATTTCTCTCAAAAGTGTTTCATATGAAAGATACGACAAATTTAACGAGTTGAATTCTGTACAAGAGAGTATGCGTACACCACTTTCTTTACTGCAATCAAATTGGGTCAGTTTGTATGGCAATTGTTTGGAGATTGTACCGTTGCCTCGAACAACATTACATGCCAAATTTCGTGAAGATATTTTGCGAATAAAAAAGAGCTCCATGCAAGAACTTAATTTGAACGTTTAATTTGTATGACAGCTAGCTTGACAGCTTCTTGCGAAGGAAAACGTGCAAAATTTCAGATTTTTCAAAACCTGAGGGACCAGTTCGCGTACAAACAAACGTACATGTCTAAATCGATTCAGCTCGTCACGCTGATCATTTATATATACAAATATTTAATAGTATGCCCGACGTTTCCTTCTGGATGTTACAAACTTCGCGGCAAACTTAATACAGCCTGTTCGAAGACAGATAATGTAATTTTTTATCTATAGTGATTTAAGGGGGAAACCAGTTTAGATGATTCAAAAAAATCGAATTTTTTTATTGCATAAATTGTTAGTACAACTATTCCATAATATGTTGCTTAAGTTTTAAAACGAAATTCCAATTAGTTCCGATGATATGAGCACTAAGGTAACACCGGTTGATTCAGTGCCGAAGCGCACTTTTTTTCAAATGCGTTTTTCTCGCAACGACTGTTTTTCAACTTGCGGGAATCCTAGCTCGAAAAGTTATTGACGAATCAATGTGAAAGTTTGTGTGAATATCCTTTATTTAAGTACAAAAAGTATGAACCAAACTCTGTAATGATATTATTAAGTAAAATATTTTTTGTAATGTAAGAAATGTGAAAAAATTTATATAAAAACATATTTTGTTCAAACACCTTCAAAACATTTAATTTTCAACTCTTTTGGCCAGAGTTTGGTTCATATTCTTAGAAAATATGTTGCTAACGAAAGAAAAAAAATTATTTTAGATTAATTCTGTGACCACCACGTGTCCCGCCAGCAGTCAACTCTGATGGCGATCGTCAATGGACGCCACCCTCTAACTCCACCACTTCCGGCGGAAATAGCATCGGAAAATTTAAAAGTATAGTTCAAAATAGGTATAAACTACCCTGCAAGTCTAACCGAATTCTAAGTATTCTTTCTCAGTTAAAAAAAATCACAAAAAAACACTCGAATTTCGGCCCCATAAACTGGTTTCCCCTTTTAAGGAGTTTACTTTGATAAAAATTAGTATTGGAGTGACAAAATTTTGCCACAATGAGAATCCATTCGGTTAACTTTGTGATAAAAAAAAAGGAAAATGAATTACCATCGAAAATTGGATTAGCAGAATATTTGGCATGAAGCCTCGCAATATTTACTAAAAGGCCTCATTTTTTGGGAAAGGAAGGTGACACAGAAATCGTGAATCGGATACTTGTCAACAAAAGCAAGTTTATTAGTTAGATTTGGCCCTCTAACTTTCTTTTTTTCACGAAGCTGTTACACTTTAATATTCGTATATTATGCATATTAAAAAAAATTAATAATGCAATCACATAATTTTAGAAGAAATTTAAAGAGATATTTTATAAATAAATACTAAATGCAATAGCAATAACACGAGACGAAATTGAAAGCAAAGTCTAGGCATGCTTATAACTGTCTATTTCGTTTACTATTCAGATAGCTTGATATGTATTTACATTATTACAACATTACATATTATTAATATTTGCAATGTGAAGCAAACGAGCGCTATTAATAACAATAAACGAATAGAACGACAAAACGGCTGACGACCAACGGAATGGTGACGGGAAAACTATGTAGAAATAAAAACAAAAGCTAACACATTTAATTCTAATTTGGAGCAATCGCGCCTACGTTGAACGCAGCTGCCTTTATCGGTGCCTTTGTGTGATTTTGGCTAGTTGCCTAGTTTTTATACTCTCGCAACCTGTTGCTACAGAGTATAATAGTTTTGTTCTCCTAATGGTTGTTTGTATCACCTAAAACTAATCGAGGTAGATTTAGGGTTATATATTTATAAATAATCAGGATGCAGAAACGAGTTGAAATCCGAGTGACTGTCTGTCCGTCCGTCTGTCCGCCCGTCCGTCCGTCTGTGCAAGCTGTAACTTGAGTAAAAATTGAGATATCTTTATGAAACTTGGTACACATATTTCTTGGTACCGTAAGACGGTTGGTATTGCAGATGGGCGTAATCGGACCACTGCCACGCCCACAAAACGCCATTAATCAAAAACAAATAAATTGCCATAACTAAGCTCCGCAATAAGATACAAGACTGTTATTTGGTACACAGGATCACATTAGGGAGGGGCAGTGCCTATAGTTGACTTTCTACCGAAAATATCAGCCAATCCACAAAGAAATCTCAAACGAGTATACCATTTGACTTTGCGAGAGTATAAAATGTTCGGTTACATCCGAAATTAGCCCTTCCTTACTTGTTTCTTTTTGTTTTTGTTTTTGTTTTAACCAGCCGATCGCAGTATGAAAGCATGCAAGGCGCGTGCGAGTTTACCTTAGAACAATAGAATAACATAAGCCAACAGATATTTTCCACATTCAAATGAGTATATATCTGCATACTTATAAATGTAATAGTAGTATTTGAATAATATGTGTATATAAATGAGTTTGTGTGGCTTCATATATAGTACGATATTTATGTATATTACTAGATACCGAATAATATTTTAACGATTAATGGTGATTGCTGTTAATTGCATTTGGTTTTACTTTCCTCTAATATAAAAATAAAAGAGGAAACGAGAACGATTGCGTAGGATTTGCAGACTATGCAGACAGTGACTAATATGTTGCATACGACTTAGCATTATGTATTGGACTATTTTGAATTTGTATGCTCTCGTAACATGCAGGACAAGAGTATAATAGTTGTGCTCGCTTTGCGGGTGTTTGCTAAAACTAAAAATGATATATAAGGGTTTATTTATATCAAACCGATCGGATTGTGGAGATAACGTAAGCGAAAGCTCACGAAATGCACTCAAACTTAACTAGCTCACCAAAAAATTGAGCTACATATAAGAGTCAAATTCGACACAGGAGCTCATCGAAAAAAATCAAAAACAAGAAAAAATATTAACTTCGTTGTCACAGAATACGACAAATAAGCAGTTTCTTGGCAAGAAAGCACTATGCAAAATTTCAGATCGATATCTTAAAGCTGAACTTTCGTTCCGGACCTTTCCCTAGCCTAACATAATTTGACTTTTTATCAAAAATTACTGTAATCTGGTCACAGTTTCGACTAATAACGAATATTATTTTTATGTGCAACATTTTTTATAACAATGAGTTTTAAAGACACCACAAAATAATTCACATGCCTTTAATTACAAATTGCGACATCACCTAATGTCGATTGCGCCATAGCCTAGAATTTGCTTAGATGTTTTCAAATAATATTGTTCATTAGATCAATAAAAGTGAGATCATAAAATTAACAAAAACTACGAAGCAGAGTTATTTCAACGCAGATTTTAAAACTGCGAAGTAAATTCTAAAAATCAACGTATTTTAATAAAATTGAGCTTCTAATATTACACAAAGGGCGCTATAATGGAGATTACTATTATAAATTTTAAATATTTGTATGTTTATGTTTTTATTGCAATATATAACATTTTAATTAGACAGTGGAAATCTTTGCTCGAAATGATTATAAACAAATCCTCATAAAAAACCAAAACATTTCATCATAAATATTCAAAACTTGAATTAATGCGTCAAATTAGTCACAAAAGCCAACAAGCCCTTAACTAAAAGGCAAGTGGTTAGCAACAAACGTACAAATACATACATACACAATCAACGTAAAATAGATATACAGGTAGAAAGATAAAATGTATAAATAGCCATAGTACAATAAATTATTTATTATTTACTCTAAAGCGTTGGTCGAAGCATGACAGACTTTTAAAACGGAGGATGACAGTCGGACACAAATGACAACATCGCGCCATGACATAACAGGTGAAAGAACCAGCGCCGTGCGAAAGCAGATAAAAACAAAAAACGTTGAGAAAAATAGTACACATTTTTAATGTGATGCGATTGTTTTTTTTTTTCTTGCAAATGTGGAAAATTTCGTAACTTGGATGTACGAAAACCGATATTACTAAGTTTAATTTTTGATTCAGCTATTTATGTTTATAATATTAAAACTATACAAGTTCCACCAACTTGAGCATGTACATATGTACCTATATGACTGAAAACATGGGGGTCAGACTATATATATTATTTGTTTCTTATTCAAAAAACTTTTTACTCTAAAATAAAAGCAAACAGTAGGATTGAATAAGTTTCTCTTCGATTAATAGCCCAAAAAATGCAACCTTCAAAATAAAAGTATGAAAATGCATACGTAAGGGGTATTTTATAGAAAACTCTCTATGACAATATTCGCTGCAATTCTTCAGAAAACACCTTTTCACTATACCTTTAGTACCAAAATGCCTAGATCCCACAACCCTAATTTGATCTGACGCTGGTTCCTTACCTTTAATAAAAAAAAAAGTAACAAGTAAACTATAATTCGAAGCGAAGAAAAAAATCGATGTGCTATGTATGAAAAATAGATGACAAACGACCAGTGTTCTCATAGATTTCTAAATCGCTTGAAAAAAAATAAAAAAAGTTTCCAATAAAATAAAAACCAAAAACACAGTTTTTCTAACGACTTTACGACAAATGTAATAACAGCCAAGAGTTTAATTATGGTTTCTTGAGTAAAAATTTTTAATTTTTATGGTTTTTACAATTTTAGGTACGTCGCAAGAATCTTAAGTACTATTATTATGGAATTGAACTTTCCGAAACCATCAGAACAATGAGATCTCTTTTGCAGCACAAAGAACGATTAATTATATCGAAGGAACGACTTTAAGTTATTGGCCCTTCTGTTATTTCCATTAAGTCGCGCCTGTTTTAGGTGTTTATAATAAAAAAAATAAAGTTAATATAGAATGTTTAAAGGAATTGACCACACAGCTAAAAGTTTCTTTCGTATTCACTGTTTTCATGAACATCAGTGTATACATGAAATCTTGCTGCCTTAAACTCTGCCCCGCGTAGCCGAGAACCCTTTACTATTCTGTATTAATAGAGAGTCTTAAAGTCGGCTCTGAACGTACTATTAGACTAAGATTTGACTGAGTTTTTAGTTCATAACTTATACCCGCATTTATATTTTTATACCCTGTGCGGGGTATATTAAGTTTGCTACACCCAGAAGGAAACGTCGGAGAGATTGTATATGAGCAGCGTGACGAACTGAGTCGATTTGTCCGTGTGTCTGTCTAAGTACAAGTATATGTATATACGCGACCAGTTTCCTAGTTTCTGATCTAATACACGTGTCTTTTTTAAAGAACTTAATTTATGCAATTGACTTAGTTACATCATATATACGTTTGTTACATCGTAAACATGCCACGAAAGTGTTATAACGACACCGACAGTTTCAAATCTCAGGGTCGTAATTTCACTTCATTAATTGAACAGTTCCACATAAATGTTGTGTAACCTGTCTGAGACTGCTATTAGGTTAGACTAAACAATAACCCAGACAAATGCCATGTACATAATATCGACCGAACCAAAGGATCATGCAAGTGATTGTTTGACTCAAACAAAAGGCATTACAACCAAGTTCGAACGCCCTACCCAGTATCCAACCTTGTCTTCGGCCAACAGAGGCATAGTACATAGTACCGGCACGGTGTGTGCCACAGCCTCCAAATCGATCCGAAAATCAGGATTCTAGATTTTTATATCTGAAAGAGAAATTCTTCTGAAACTCGTCGAGCCAAAAATTAAAGATGGAATACTTGTAGGTCCACAAATAAGGCAACTGATAAAGGATAAGAGCTTTGAAGTGAAACTGAATGATCAGAAAAAACTCACCTGGAAGTTTTTTGTGAATTTTGTGCAAATATTTCTAGAAAACCATAATTCGTAAAATTACAAAGAGTTAATAAATGAACTTATAATGTCATATAAAGATTTGCGGTGTAATATGCCCTTAAAAATATGTACATATGCTAGACTCTCATCTGGATTTCTTTCCGGCAAATTTGGATGTTGTGAGTGACGAACAAGGCGAGAGGTTCCATCAGGACATTCCCTTAATGGAGAAGCGCTATCAAGGGAAATAGAGCGCTATCAATGGAAATAGAGCGCAGTAATGCTAGTAGAGTATTGTTAAAGACGTAAAAGAGACCTTCATGAAGCCAATTATTCCCGAAAATCATAAGAATTTTTACTATATTAAGCAATAATTTTTGTAAATGTAGAAAATATATGTTTGGATGTCACAAGACAGCCTGACCTGTAAATTTTTTTTTTATTTACATATGATTATTTAGTGCTGGTAAGTAGTGTAATTGTTCAGATACAATCATAGTTATGACATTTTTGACACCTGATTTGTGCAAGCTACAAGCGAAAAAATTATTTAAGAGCTATAAAGTAATAATCCGCATTTATCTGAGGCCATGAAAGGCCGCACTAAAAGATTATAATTCGAAGTAAACAAATTACGCATGCGACATACCAACAATGAATGACGATTGACGTTGATGGAAACGTGTTTGGCATAGTAGTGACAATTAATTGATGAAAAATCAACCAAAAAGAAATAGAAATATTTATGAATGTACATAAGTTTGTATGTGTGTGTTAAAAACAAAAAAAAATACATACAATTTTGTAATAATTTAATTATTTATTGAAAAAAATCGCTAGCTAAGCCAATCGCAAGAAAATAATTATGAAAACAACAAAGTGAACGAAGTTACAGGAAACCAAATATTCCTAGACCTACATTACCTTAGAACAATACAATATGTTTGCTATACTTATAAAGTATTGTCTCAGAGATTGGCTCCATTGGAAAAACTTAAAAACGTATACAGTCAGCGCCAAAAATACTATGATTTAGGAGTATAAACTTGCGAAGTCTAAAAACTATAGCGACCAATTTAAATATCAGGATCAGTTGAAACAAGGGGAGAAAATATCTTGCAATTGGCTCTAAAACTAACTTAGTGGAAATCCGTTATATTTATGCCGAATTTTAAAAAACGCGTGGAACCTTCAAGAGATAGAAAACAAAACTAAAATATTCGGGTCGTCACTGAACTTCAGCTCCAAAATATTTTCGAATTACGAGACGATGATAACAACCAGTGTTTCGGGGCTTTGTCTTTATTTGAAATTAATTTCGCAAACTCGCTAATAGCACCTTTCAATGATTTTAGGTTATCTGGGATCAAGGTCAAGTCTTATCTACGTAGGTTTTGAAATATATGGTTTTTCATTTGTAGACTAAAGTAACTTCATACAAAAACCACTTTGTTGGGAAGATAACATTTTAAAATTAAACCTTCGAGATTGACCAGCGAGGTAACCATAAATTCAACTCTATTTATAATCGGAAAAACTGTAAATTCATAGTGGATATTTTTCTGCCCTGGGCACACATACATTAGCCAACATCATTCACATTAGGAATTCAACACGTTTTGGTTGCAGAAGTACATGATAGAAGGGCTCGAATTATGGACACTTGAGTATGTAACGCTTTAGAAAAAGCCTCAACTTACAGAAAGTCCTCAATGTCCACGCAGTTGATGAAGTGACAAGGTTCATAATTGTTTTGGGTATCACCATAGCAATATGAATATGACCACGGAGTATTACCGCGACAAGGCGCATGCCCCAACAGCCGCTGAACATTTACACCGCTCGCATTGATCGGTGCCTGCTGGCAGCAAGCCGCAGAACGCTCCGCAATTGGCGCCGGATAACCACCATTTCTGTAGTTTTGCACGGGATAGGCAGGCTGCTGCACCGGTGGCATTTGTGGGTAATTGACATGTGTGTTCATATTTTTTTGTTGGTATAGCGGTTGATGATATAGCGATGGTTGATAGCCTATCGGCCTTTGTAACAGTTGGTTGGGTTGATATGGATTCTGAACGAACTGTTGTGGCTGCGGCGTGAAATTTTTCACCGGCTGCAGTTGTTGCTGTGGCAACGAGTATTGTTGTTGCTGAAATTGCGGCATATGAAGTTGCTGTTGTTGGATGGGCAGCTGATGTTGCCGCATTGATGATGGCGGCTGCTGCTGCTGGATTGGCAGCTGTTGTCGTTGTTGATGATTGTTGTGGTATGAATTTTGTGGCAGAGTTTGATTGATTGAGTACGTTATGCCTGGAACTACCTCGAGTGCTGGATAATTACGTGGCGGATGAACCGTGACGCCGTACGTTTGGTCCTCACGTTGATAGCCATAATTGCGTTGCTGCAGTGATTGTTGTTGATGGAGACTATGCTGCTTCATTGTTTGCGGCTGATGTTGCTGGAGATTGTGTTGCGCCATCCTTTGAGGCTGCTGCTGATGTTGCTCCAAAGCGCAATCGCCTTTGTGGCACCCGCCACCATTGCCGTCAGCGTCAGCGCAAGTGCTGCGAAATCCGAAATCAGCAAAAGTTACATGTTGCTCATGTTGTTGTAGTTCCGACGGCACACGTGCATAGTACTGATTAGAATCCGTATTGGTATACAACGATTTATCATGTAATTGCGTCGAATTTTCTGCTGCGAATTCCAATTGTTGTTTATGTAAATTTTCTTGTGTTGTTGCTTGCTCATTGTTGCTATTGCTGCGATGTTCACACTCATACTCTAGACACTCGGTACATAGGTTATCCAACAATTTATCAGAATTATCGTCGAAGAGGGAGTACGCTTCTTCGACGAAGGTTAGCCACGAATTCTGGTTGGGGTACATGGTTTTGTTGCAACCTTTTTATAACAGACAAAAAATATTTTTAAAAATTTCCGACAATTTCGATTTGAATTAGTAACTTGTTATTATTTTATTCCTTTTTTCACTTGCTTCTGGTATTTGTTGTCTCTGTCAACACTAAAAACACTACACCTTAATTTACCCAATAGGCACCTTGGTTCACTACACCTTTTTAGCAGAGATTTCTCTTATACAACTTTATTTTGAATTTCACAATTTATAGAATTGAATATTCGGGAAGGAAAAAACAAATTTGGAACAGGTCAATAGTTGAGCGAGCGTAGATAGCGCTAAACGACCGATCATTACCCACGACAACGACTATTCAAATGAGCGAAAATCCTGGGGTATTTCCAAAATAATAACAGTCCAATACCGCTCAGTAGAACAGCAAGCGAGAGAAATATGTACATAGGTATAATATATGAATTTCATATAAGAAGTAGTATGTATGTATATTTTTTAGCATTACTTCGGCTACTCGAAACAGTGTAAAAAAAAGTGATTTTGCACTTGTATTTAAACGAGCGCTATAGCGCTTATGGCAAAAATATATACTAGTGAAAATAACAACTAAATAAATTACCAGGCAAAAACGTTATCAGTCTGGAGTATGGCACTGATAAGATATCACTCAATTAAGTCGTAAGAGCGTAAAAGAGAAAAAATGCTGTGTCGCCGCTGACGAGAGAGGCAGTGTGTTGGAAAATTATCGAAAGAGAAAAATCTATTGTTGAAAACATATGTACATAGCGGTTCAGTCGTAAGTGGTAAGTATTTAAGGTAACTACTATATTTTCTCTATAAATGAAACTACAAACCTGTGTTGGACATATCTTTGGTTTTGCAAAATTTCACCTAAGTGGCTTATCAGACTTATGATAATATGTACTTTGGAGCACGCTCAAACAGGAAATGTATTAAAAATGTATTTGATTTGGGATTTGGTTTTTCACACTCTTGAAAGTGTTATAGCAAATTGCGATTAGACATAATGGAAATATACCGTAATTATTTATTATCGCATATAAAATCAATCAAAATATCTGGAAGATATTTTATCTGCAATTTAATAGCAGGCAACCCTGCAAAATCAACAACATATTTGCTTAGGTTTTTTTTTCGTATTTCATATCATTATATTTTTTAGTTCCGCAACTTATATTAATAGGAAGTATTTCGAATATTTAAGAGGTGGGCTGAAAAGTTCGTAGGCTGGCACATACTGGTATAGATGGCACTATTGATATTAAAACCATACGCCTATTAGTCAGTACTAACTTTCAAAATATACATGTATGAATTTGACAGCTGTCGGACTATAAGTTTATGAGGATATAGCATTTTGAGTGAAGCATGTTATGTTAGTTGATAAAAAGGGATGAAAAGTAATTTTGCCGAGTCAAGTGAGTGTAATTCTCCTTACCGCGATCCGAAAAATCGCACAACATCGAATTTTATAACTAGCGCCGACGAACAAAAGGTATCTCATATGACGTTGAGGCTGTTATGGACGAAAAAAATCTAAAAATCCGAATCTATATTTTGGTTGAGTTTTATCGAACTGGGCAACACTATATGATATCAAATAGGTAGTGTTGGACATATTTTTCATTCATACAAGCATATGCGAAAGAAAAATGCATTAATAGGTTTCCAAATTGGTTGTATATCCACGGTCTGGCCACCAGCGACTCCTGCCTGTGCGTAGACCACAAGAAAATCTTCACTGAAAAAAAATATAGAAATTGAGGCCGTATATCCGCATACAATAACAAATTATATTTGGCAAACTTAGTTGGTTTTATTAACACCAATTGTTTGTCCGTTATCCTACGACTTTTTGAGAGAGAATCTCTAAAGTCAGAGATATTAAAGTATAATTGATGAAAAGAGCATAAGTTGTGAATTTCTTAAGAGAAAAAAGTGATTTGTACCGATAATAAAGTGAATTAAAGCTAAAGTCGTTTAAACCTCTATTGTTTATGAGCAAGAGTCTTATCTTATTGGGCTTCGGGTTCATAAACAAAATCCAAATTTACAGTTTCGTTACACCAGCCGAAAATCGGAGCTAATAAAACAACAACAAAAAAACATATATGTACTGCATAAAGTAGCAGTCATCTAAATAAGAACAGTAATTTTCATTTATAAAAAAAGTTATTAAATAAAAATCACAAATTGAAGTTGCACAAAATTTATTTACACAAATAAATTTAATAATCAAAAAACTTGACATTTGGCCCAGATAATTGTCTAAGGCAACACTTTAATCTACGAGCGAGCCTATAGCCGCTATGCAAACTGACCAATCGAAATCAAGATAAGACATTTTTAGAACCTTTTATGCTATAAGAAAAAAAAAAAATTAAATTAAATTAAATAAATAAAATTTACACATTTTTTTCAAGTGCTTTTAATAATATGAATACCACTGTTTGCATTTTAGTATAATTTTTGTACTCTCGCAACCTGTTGCTACAGAGTATAATAGTTTTTATCACCTAACGGTTGTTTTTATCCCCTAAAATTAATCAATATAGACATAGGGTTATATATATTATATATAAATGATCAGGATGAAGAGACGAGTTGAAATCCGGATGATTGTCTGTCCGTCCGTCCGTCTGTGCAAGCTGTAACTTAAGTAAAAATTGAGATATCTTCATGAAACTTGATACAAATGTTTCTTGGTACCGTAAGACGGTTGGTACTGCAGATGGGCGTAGTCGGACCACTGCCACGCCCACAAAACGCCATTAATCAAAAACAAATAAATTGTTATAACTAAGCTCTACGATAAGATACAAGACTGTTATTAGGTATACAGGCTCACTTTAGAGAGAGGCATCTGCATATTAAAATTTTATTTAAAAATGGGCGTGGTTCCGTACCCTAATAGGTTTAATGTGTATATCTCCTAAACCGCTAAAGCTATATTAACAAAATTCACTGAAAACAAATGTTTTAGCATCTCTATCTACAGTGTGATACGGGTGCTACCCCGCCCACTCCCCATATAACGGTACTGTTAAAAACTAGTAAAAGCGCGATAAATTAAGCACTAAACACGCCAGAGACATTACATTTTATCTCTGGGATGGTATGAGATACCTTTATAGGAACCGCGTTTAAAATTAGACAGAAGGCGTGGCACCGCCCACTATTAGGTGAAAACCCATAGCTTGGGATTTGCTTAACCGATTTCAATCAAATTCGGTACATAACATTATTTTCATATTTCTATGTTATAGCGCGAAAATGGGCGAAATCGGACTACAACCACGCATATTTCCCATATAACACCATTATCAATTCCATCTGATTGTGTCGGGGTAAAACTTTGCGTTTAAAGTGTGTAATTTCCCAGCTTTGATGCTTGCAAATTGCGAGAGTATAAAAATGTTCGATTACACCCGAACTTCGAACTTCGAACTTCCTTACTTGTTTTAATTCTGACTTTTCGCCTTGTAATCAGATGCGAAGTATTTTGGGAGGGTGAAGATCACGTTTTTTATTTACACAAAAGGTGAAACGGAACTGTGGTGGCGGGTGTAATATTTAAAGCCGAAAATTGCGGCTATTATAAATTCAGCATGACAAATATATGTTCTTGTGATTTAATTGTTTAACATTTTCTCTCGGCTATGATATGCATTGTGTTGAGCAGAAAACAGATGAAACGAAATAAGCTTAATAAAAGATAATATGTTAAGGGATCAAAATATTACTTATCCAAATTTGCTTCTAAATATGACATCGCATGGATAGCATAAAAGTTTGTGTATTTGGTCTAGAGCTTGCTTGCTTTTCTGATTACTTCTGTACAAACAAGTGTTTGAGATTTATTATGCTCTTTAATGCCAAAAATGTGTACGCTTATTCATACTTTCTAAGGAAATGTGGTATTTCTCTATGGTAAAACTTATGCGCTCGTTATGAGGCATAAGTATTCCGGCGCTTTGTTTGAAGCATTGTATATCCATTCGCGGTTCTCAATGCTTATATACCTGGATATTTCTAAAATTAAAATTTTTCTAAAATATTTATATCGGAATAGAGTAAATATTGTTTTGACCTTTTGCTATGTCGGTATCTTTTTTAAAAGTCAGATGTATCGGTTTCTGAAAATATTGTGATTAGTCTCAGCAAAATTTCGCATTCATTCGTCAACATCCAAACAATCAGAAGGATGTCTTTATTAATTCTAAGTAAAAGTGAAGTTATAAACATTTAAAAATCACAACATTATCATGAAAATACAAGCACTTTTTAGGTAAACTACCATCAAATCATATCAAAGTGCTCCAAATGTATGAAGTGATGTTTCAAAACCCCCTAGCCCATGCTTTGTATACCCTGAACAGGGTATATTAAGTTTGCCACGAAGTTTGTAATACCCAGAAGGAAACGGCGGAGACCATATAAAGTATATATATAATATAAATGATCACCGTGACGAGCTGAGTTGATTTAGCCATGTCCGTCCGTCCTTCCGTCTGTAAATACGCGAACTAGTCCCTCAGTTTTTGAGATATCGATTTGAAATTTTGAACAAGTCTTTTTCTTACCAAGAAGCTGCTCATTTGTTGGAGCGGCCGATATCGGACCACTATAGCATATAGCTGCCATACAAACTGAACAATCAGAATCAAGTGTTTGTATGGAAAACTCTTTCATTTGACGAGGTATCTTCACGAAATTAGGCACGAGTTATTGCTTAAGGCAACAAATTATTCTCCACAGAAATTGGTCAGATCAGATCACTATATCATACAGCTGCCATACAAATTGAACGATCGGAATCAAGTTCTTGTAAGGGGCCTTTGTATTTGTGAAGGGTATTATAGCTTCGGCACAACCGAAGTTAACGTTTTTTCTTGTTTTCTGAAAAAAATATTTTAAGTTTGCCACGAAGTTTGTAACACTCAGAAGGAAATGCTCAGAAAAATGAGCTAAGAGAAAGATGGTTTTTGAGATATCAATATGAAAATTGCACACACCTTTTTCACTATAGAATATAGCGGCCATACAAAGTGATCGATTAAAACCAATTGACCTAGTATGGAAAACTTTTTTATTCGACAAGATATCTTCATCGAAACTTTAACTTTACATTTAACCGGCGTCATAAAGCATGTTAAGTAAAGTAATCTAAAAAGACTGACATGAAATCAGCATGATTATGGAATTTTTTCAGCACATAACATATGGTTCTTTTGTAATCGCAAATCTGGAATGAACTCAACGAAAACTGACGCAATTGACATAATATACCCGTTACATTTAGTAAAGATAGAGACTATAGAGATTAAACATCTTTGCGATAAACAGTTAACTGCGATACTGACAAAAATCTCAACAACTATCCGCGTCATCATATATGGTATAAATACCCTTTAAACCCTAACAATGGAAATAAATGTTGTTGTGCATTTGTTGTATACATGGCCTGTCAATACAAGTATGCACTCAAATATAATATCTGCGATGACTTGACACTTTTTGAGAACCGTAGAGAAAACGATTTCTGCACATTCTCTACGTTCTAATATTGAAGCAGCGCAAACAAGTCGGGCAATCGACACTTTGTACGCCCTAGCGAAATAGGTCGGATATAAGTTATTTCCTGCACCTAGCATTGA